ATTTGTTATGAAATTAAGTTCCTTAGTTCAGAAAATATAATTGACAGTTGAAATGTAAAACAAGTGTTAACTGAATATGTTTTAGAACTACTTTAATAAATGAATAAAACACTGATTTTAGGTAAAAGGAAGATCAGGTTTTTTGCAAACAAGCTAAAAAGTCATACCCAATATTTCCATAAACAGAAGAAAGAATGAAATGGGATGAATATGGTGAAGTAATCAGGTGAGAATTTTCTTTTTTCAAAACAAAAACAACAAATAATTTTACAGCAGCAATCATGGTAATCAGGCGATGTTTATTAATCAATAGTTTTTTACTTACAAGTATTTTGTTATTTTGTCTGCTGGAACACACAAATATTTGAAAATAAGCTCTTTTGAACGAAAATAAAACTATGGTTACTAGAGTATAATTTCCTCTTTAGAATACACTTTACATTAAAATTATTTTATATTTATTTCTCTTATTTTATTACGGAATTACGTAGCTGGAATTTTTAAATGCTTACACAATAATAGTTAATTCAGGGAAACTGAATTTTGTTAACACTTGTCTTTTATGACTGCTGACTCAAATGTCACCAAACGCGAATAAATGAGACATATAAACTATGTTTTAAAATGATTTGTTGGTTGTTTTTTCAGGCCTGAGGATTACATAATTGTAGAGGCTCCAGTCGCAGATGAAACCATGTCAACTGTAAGTGTAAACACACATTGAATCAAATTTAACAAATGACACTGTACATTTAGCAAACAAGGTAAACTCAAGTAAAAATAACAGTAAATATGAAACCTGTATCCTTATCATGAGAAAAGCTGTAAATATACTATAGGTTTATATGAATAACGTTTCTAACAGTCTCTTGTTACATTCAAGACATGTGGAAACGTAGCACGTGGTAGATATATTTCAGCAAACTAGAAAAGTCTTTAATCTAGGATTGACCCAAAGTTTATTAGCATCTTTATCAAAATGTCCTTTTTTGCAGGAAAAACTAGTTGCAGAATCCGACCAACTTCAAGGTAATTTCAAATTAATCTAGTATTTACAAAAACGATTTTGTACTTTTTATTTCATAATTAAATATGGAAATTTTAATTTCAAAAGGATTTTACTCAAAAATAGATTTTGAATGAAAATAAAAGATGACCAAAGGTTAATAAAACATGTAATGTCAAAGTTAAATCTATTCCCAACTGTTATGTTGAGGCGTTGAAAAATCATGATTTCCCCTAGGAGTGTAGATTTTGATTTATTCATAGAAATAACATGTGGTTAGTTAATATAAGACAATTTGACTTCTTTACATAGTATTTGTGGTGATATCATGTCTATGAGATTAACCTTATTTTCTTTCTCTTCGTCATCAGTTTGGCTTAGAAAAAAAGTTACATTTATGTTTGATGATATTTTCTTTCTGAACACGAAAGTGCTTATATATAAATGGAAATATTTAGACGATTAATTTGTATTGCTTTTTTTTCCCAATATATTTTTTTTGGAGGAGGAAGGTGATCTTACTATTTGGAAGTACAAAACATTGTTTTATACAATTTTGATTTAGCTTGTGATATATCATAATATGATTAGGGTTTGCTTGTATCCACATCGTTGTGTCTTTACATTTACGTTCATCAAAATTGAAAGTATTCATTCCTTGCACGCTCTAAGATATTATTTGCATTTACTTTCATCAAATTTATCACAATTGCATGCTTAGAAATTGTTACTTCTATGAGATATTCCCCGAGGAATTAAAGTGTCATCAATATTGGTTTCTTAAATTGTCATAATAGTATGGCCATTATGCGGTCCTTAAAAATGTCACCGATGCTTTATTACATTTGGTAATTTGACTGAGATGTATTGTTGAAGAGGTTAGTTTTAAGTGGAGTTCTAGAATATACTGTCAAACTGTCAAGCCTGTTCAAAACGTGTAGCTACTTGTACTCTTCTTAGAGTGAAATATATTTTCTCTCTTGAGATATGAATATTTTGAGATGTGTCTTAAAAGACCATGAGCATAAATAAGTAAGACTTATATATAAGAAAAATCGTGGATCTGTAAGGCGTCCCAGTTTTGCACATTTGCACACCCCACTGTTTAGGCAGTATGTCCTGTAGTTATGGATTTGAGGTTACAAATACCCCAGCCAGATTGATACACACAAAAAAGTGGTTTGGAGAAAGACTGGCACATGACTTTACCATTAACATCACATGTCCCACTCCTTTCACCCATATGTCCGCTCTAGGTTTCTTGAGTGTGTCGGGGCCGCGTCCTGTTGCCTTTGCCTTGTTGATCTTTATTCTTGAAAAGACTTGTGGTTCAAAAAATAAAAAATGTTGGAGATGTTTTTCACATAAATTGTTATTTATTCATTACCTTACATTTGTTAAAAAACACGTTTAATTAAAAATATCTTAAAAGTTATTTACATATTATTAAATATTATTATTAATATATTATTATGCATTATCTATAAACAATATTAAAAATAACGGAAGGAAGCTTTATTCTAAATTTTAACTTTAGCCAAAGAAACTGTTATTAAATGACGCACACTGTACATTATTGTTGTATTAAAAGTGAAAGAAAAACAATATAACCTAGTTCAAGTTTCCTGTTATCCAACGCCTTTCTGTCTGCTTTAACTGGCGATATATTGTGTACAAACAAAATTTATCTCACTATTTTAGATGTGTCTGAAGTGCAAACTAAATGCATTGTTGTCACAGTAACACTAGACATTAATGCAAACATAAAATTCATTGACTTTGAAGGACGAACATACGGCGAATCCATGAGAAAAAAACTGTTCCAGATTAAAACCAAGACAGTTGATATGTTATTGTACTGTCATTGTTTTTATCGATTTTAAAATGTTTCATGAATTACAAAGCGAGATGTACAATATATAATTTTACGTGAAATTATGAGCAACTAGAGTTCACCAATGTCATGGCTTATGTATTTCAAAATGTTCACAAGAACCGAGTCCAAATAGATATATATTATCTTGCCTAAATTATTCAATGTATTTAAGCTTAAGAATTAGATGAAAAAGCTTGTTCAAGTACATGTTCCAGGAAACTCTTCAGACACTTCATCCAATACTGTACTACAGAAATGTTTGCAAATAATCTTTACTTAACAGAATAGGAGAGAAAATCCTCCAATATTATAAAATCTTCAATTAAGTTAAAATGATTTTCATTTGATCAATCTAACTGCTTTATAATGATTAATATATCATTAAATTAAAAAAATTGAATTTCTGCATGTGTGTTATTATTAACAGATTTTGGTACATGGTTTTGAGGAGGCTACACAATCTCTGGCTGAATATTGCCGAAACACACAGGGTATGAAACAAGGAAATGTGTTCACACCTAAAATTGGTGAAACTGTTGATGCCACGACAGAAAGTCATATATTCTAGGTAAATATATCATTTTAATTAAATCTTCATAAATATTCAATTGATATAATGTTGGCATGAAGTTTCAATATTGATATATGTCATGAGTAACCGTCAAATATACCAATATACTCCTGTAATTAAAATTGATATGATTTAGCAAGTATCAATTTTTAAAGAATGTTTAAGAGCAATTATTCATTTAAATGGTACCAAACATATTTATAGTCTTTCATAAAACAGAATAATTTCATATTTTAGGTAAAATTAAAAGATTTTGTCGTAACAGCGCTTGAGTTTTCAAAAGCAAAGGATGCTGAACTTGTCTGGATTGATGGTTGCATTGATACGAGTTTGCACAAGGATGATCTGGATCATGAGACGTATGATGATGATGATGAAGTAGACACTGATAAAGGTAGCATTGAAATGTGTGATTTGATTCACATTTCTATTATTAGACCTTATATTATGTTTTGGAAGAGTAATTTTGTTTCTGAACATTATAGTAAATGGTAAGATGAAACACTTTAGTGCATTATTTTATATATTTCAAAATTAAATGGTCTATTTAAATTTGCAAAGTAAGATATGTTTCAAGACGTATTGGAGTGAAAGATTTAGAACAAAATACATAAAATCTGTAATAGTGTAAAGCCATGATTATGTTATACAAAACTGAACTTCACGATCCCATATTCGTGCTGAAATCTAAATAAAATGTCACCATTGCCATAAATGGAAAGTTGATACTTGTAAAATTATTGATTGAAGAATAAACTTATAAATGTACGTAACACTTAATTTCTTTTATCAATGTTGAATAAATTTTGTTTGAACTGAAACAAGGGAAGAAGCGATTAAATATTACATGTAGTTACTTTCTAGTGCTAAAACCTACAACAGGGATGTAAATGTCGGAAGCATTACAATCAAATCAGGTTTGTTTTTTTGTGTTTAATTTCGATTTTAGTGTAATGAATTGTATTCTAGACAAGTTCTGTACTGATTGTTGTTTTCATTAGACTTGATTTACAATGTTTCTTTTGCAAATTCGCTGTAGGTTCCGAATTGAAGTGATTTCTCTGGAGAGCTTTCGTCTTACAGGATCAGACATTAGCAGCTTAATAACATGTTGTTTCGGAAGTAGACTGTACACACCATTTATTGTTTTCTCTACAAGTTTTTATGATTGAAAGACATCAGTAAAATTCTTCTTTTCTTTTGCAAGATCTAAAGTTTTATATCTAGCATATGCCATTATTTTACAGTTTTCTGTTGTTTTTTTTATCAGATTTGTTATATTTATAGGCCTATATATCTGCTTCTTTATTGTTCTGAACTTTATATTCTACAAATTGTAATTTTAGCTTGTAATTAACCTTAACAGAATGAACATTAGAGTAAAAATGAAATATATGCATGTTTCTTTATATAATCGTTTATTAAACTAAAGAGGCTCTGAGCATATGTAACTGTAAGAGATAACTGTTAAATTTTATTATAATTATGTTGATTTATCTGTTCAGCTACCAGGTCACATGGCTGTTTATATAAATGAGACAAAATTGAGTTGTGCTCCTACAGGAGAACATACAAGCCGAGTTCAGTGCATGAGCTCTTGTCTGAAATGATACAATTGCTGTTAGAAGGGTAAGTCGTAAGTAATGGTAAAATATTTTAATCTGTGTTTTTTTTTTTACTTTTTTCTCATTTTAATATCAATTTACGATTTTATTTTCTTAGGTTTATATGTCATCTCCCTTGAAATGTTGTCTGACGGCCTGTGTTGTCACCATATCCTCATTAGACAGATAGACTGCTTCTTCACGAATAAATAGTTTGAACGCATATATGGGATAAGTGATGTAGTCAACAACTTTGAAAAGAATGAATTATGAACAAAAAACCCATTCATCTTTTTTATTTCTTTTCAGAATTAGGCAGGTCGTATGCAGTTAGAAGGTGCAATCTCAAAAGACTACTTCAAAGTTCGAGACTTACTCTACAACCAGTATGCTATTGTGTGATTGGAGAACATATTGTATACATTGTTTCATCATACAGTTACATTATCATCTGTCATCACCCATTACGGAAACGGAGAAATTGTTTTTTTATGAAGACATATAACTATTGAACTTGTATTTGTATAACATTATCAATTTCAAAGTCATTTGTATACAATGTACGTGAATAAAAACAGAGAAAAATGTTTTTCATCATGATATAAAACCATTGATATTGTGTTTGTCCAGCATTATCAATTTCAAAGTCATCTGTCTTCATTCATTAACAAGGTGGAATACCATAGATATAACATGTTACAGTGCTATACGTTTATATCTGAACAATTAGAAAACACAAAAGTGAAAATGTATTCGTTCATTTGCATAATTATGGCATGGTAACAGTGATGTATTGACTGTCTTGTAAAATGTTGTTCTTAAGCTGATAGTAAATAAATATGTCATGTGATAGTCTTAGTTTTATTTTATTTGTTTTTTGAAGTCTACCTATTTCGTCACAATCTGTTTTCAAATGTGCCTTATTGAGTAAAATGTGACTGACATATGCTCATAAAATAAAACAAAATATGGTTTTTGAAGTCCCTATTGAGTAAAATGTAACGGACATATGCTAATAAAATAAGGAAAATATTATGGTTTTCTTTCTCCATGACAGAAAATAAATCAGATGATAGTTATGTGATCAACAGTCACATTAGCGACGTCATTGTTTCGAAACACGTGCATTGTCATCTAGGGGTTTCGTAAACAAAGAGAATTAGAATACCTTTCTTTAGAAAACTAATAATACTGTTTTCTATTAACAGTTTGTCTCAAACTTTTTAAATGATACGTGCTGTTGCGGTAAATATATTTTCACAGACCATCCAATACGGCAGCATTATTTTATACGATTTTCAACTTTAGATTTTACTAACTAAGCTAAATACAAGCGTTGAACGGAAAGAAATTTTTTTAAATTCATCAGTGCATTACGAAGACTCTATTCACTAAGTAGATATTATAAAACAGAAAGGTTGTTCACTTATCTTGTGACAATGATATATGTATTTTTTGAATAAAAAAACCGTGGGCATTAAATAATTTTCTGACAAAACCATTAGACCTGTAAAGTTAGGTAAGCAAGATGACATGTCAAATGTCAATGCTAAGCGTAATTATCATTGTGTTTTTCTTTTATTCAGTGACGGCAGTAAATATTCACATGTACTTGGATGTTCCAAAGCATTTGTCACCAATTGTCACATAATCATGAGTTTGCAAAACATCATTTTTTCAAGCAATTAGCCTCATATTATTGTGTTTATCTTCTTATAAAATAAAATCAGCCTTCCCGTAGTCATAGTTTCTGATTTTTATTACTTTCTAAAAAGGAACTTTGTGATGTTGCGTAAGCGTCATGTTTTTCTAGACACTACGCTCTATGCGAAGAGAAAAAAACAAGAAAGTGTATAACTTGGGCACACTATATGTACTCGTTTTTGTTGATAAATGCTTGCGACTTGTGTAAATCAACATCTTTTTCTTTATGTTTAACATTATGTTCTACCTTAACTTGAAATATCTTCTTCGAAGTTTCCCATCACCATTGGTTAACTAATGTTTTATCATTTAGGTTAAATAAATGAAACTGTTTATGAAGCTATTGAATACCGATGAAATGTATTCCTTCCTAATTGCTTTTCTGGCCATACACATAGTGCGCATACGCGAATGGTGAATATGGTATTGTAAAAAAACTGTCTCATGTATAACATTTTGTAATAACAATTGGTGGAATAAACCGTGATCTACTCTGTAATTTGATTAATTTATTCTGATAATATATAAAATTGAAACATCATTCTGTTCATTTATCTTCCACACATATCTAGACTCTATTATATGAAATCAGAATTTAATGTTTCGGGTAATACAGAGTTGTTGGTCTGTAAGTACTCTACATTTATGACGGATAATTCAATCAGTTGCCTAAAACAAATTATGTTACGTATAAAAGACCCGTGTAATACGATAAAAGCTTTGTTCAGAGGTAATTTAGATTTTCTATAACCATGTGATTATCACGTATAAAGCACACTGCATGAATATATAATGTTATAAAATGACCAAAGGTCATACTTCGGACAACACTTCCAATACAGACCTATGTGAACCTTTCTGTTAAGTAAAGTTTATCATGAACATTAAAACCCATAATTCATTACAAATAATTAAACAATTATAGATCTACTATCCAGCTAACTTTAGAAAGTATAGTTTACTGTTTTATTATATAAACTGCTAAATATTTCATCACAGTTGAGATATATAGGCATCATGTATAAGATATAAATTGCCATGCAAGAACATAACTTTAAAACATGCTGTATGCCTGTATGGTTTTCATTTAACCATGTGCACATATGCTATGGATACATAAAAAAATATTATATTACAATTGCAGCAAAGATATCAATAAAGACCCCGTTTGTGATACATATGATGATAGCTTCTGTTAATGTTAGACACTTCTGTTAATGTTAAAGAATTTCAAAAGCTTAAAAATTCAGTTAGCAACATCAACAGCATAATAAACCAGACATGTGTAAGAAGAACATAAAAAGCCAAATGTGTTATAAGCCATGAGCATATGTTGTGAAATATTGACACTGCAAAAGAATAATCAATCGCTTTAACACAAAAAATTTACACAAGAGTGATAATTGATTGCATTACAATATTTCAGATTCTGATGAGGCGTGAACTTAAAGATTCCAAAGTGATACAACTAATTTATAGTGGTACAACACAGACCGATATTTTCCTTATCTAATGATGAGTTAATGATGAGTTAAAACTTCTGAATTTATGACCTCTAACTTAAGTTTGCACACTTTGAGGTTAATGTACCAGCATTATTTTTCCTTATCCAATATAAAAAGATGAACAAAAATTATTTTCTCATATATGACTTGAAAATATAAAAAAAAATGAAATATGTATAAAAAGTATATATAAATATCTCATTTACGGTTTGATCCTTATAATCTAATCATACTGAAGTAATTGAATTAGGGAACTCGTGTCTCTGTGTCAATAAAATTCAGATGGAAAGGTAAAAAAAGATATTAAAAGTCTAGTCAGATAGTGCTTCTCTGACAACTTGCCTGGCAATGCACTTGCTTCTGGCAAGTTATTTACTGAGTTCAGTAAAAAATATTTTCTTCTTCTCATAAACTCATTTGTAACCCATAAAACTTTGGGTGTTTTCCTAAGGTTCTCCTTCGCAAACCAAAAATGTTTAAGGCTATTTTGTAGCTGATGTTGCCCATGAAATAACAAAACCTAAACTCCTCTTGATAATAGGTGTAGGAAAACAACTAATTCTTGACTCGTGGATGATCAGTTTCAACTTTCAACCGCTTATCATCAGTTCAATTTTAAAACGTGAATGAATAGAGCATGATGCATGATGGTGTGAACAAACATTAAATAATTCAAGCTTTACGCAGAATCCTTACATATACATTGTATCCTTATATTTCCTTATCAAGACCTCGTGAAAACTTTGCAGTTATGATTCTGTTAAAACGGATTAATCATTAAACAGTAGACTTGCAATAATCTTGATTTCTCAAAGCATAAAAATCATTTACTGGTTTTTGTGTCTCCTTGGTGAAAAATAATGCTGAATATTCAATTATGTTTCATAGAGGTAGCAAAATGTAAACTTAGTGGTATTTTTAGCTATAACGCCAAAAACAATTTATTTGAAATCGTTTGAGAAATCAAACATATAGCATTGTTGGTGTTAAATGAACGTTTTCTTGATAATAATGTATTTTATTATGAACATATATTTTGTTATGAACTTATGACAGACTAGTATTGTTTTTATTTTGTTTTAACTTGGTTACTCATTGTTGTGGGTAAAATTTATTAAATCTATTATGTTTTTATGAGTATTATTGTACTTTATCATTTTCGAACCACTTTCTCTTCACAGTTCGTATCCCGCCTTGGGGCATGATATTTTTTCATGTGGGAAAGCTATCCAGCTAGCTTACAGACCTTCGACGGTCTTACTTACGTGTCTGCTTGCGATTGAAATAACGAACAAAGTGGCACCAGAAGTCTTCCTCCACAAATAAAGAAAATCGCTACATTATATTTGACCTTTAAAGTGTTGGACGGATAAAAAACTAACAAATGAATTGAAAAAAAGAATTATAATCATCATATATTTGGTTTCATATGGATTAATCTGTTTTATAAATTTCAACAATTGTTAAGACTGCAATATGATAAATAGAAAACGACCTACAGATTTAATATGGTGAAAGCTTATTTTTTGTGTAATTCATCACAAGAAAATCTATCAAAGGTTTAATTCATTGAGCAATAAAACATTTCTTCTTAGTTCACCGCAATATTTTACATTTCTTCCTTATAAAGACGGAAAATTGAATGTAGAAAAAGAACATTTAATAAGAATAAGTGAATGGATTCTAATCTAACTTTATACTGCATATTGTAAGTTTCAATTGTACAAGAGTTTTAAACCCCCGACAAAAATGTAAGTTAAAAATGGAAAAATAATAAAAAATATTAAAGTTTTATGTTATCTTTCATATCTTTATCTAATATATATAGCATTTAACACATATTCACTCATACATTTTTAGTAATGAAACACTTTTGAAATTGCAGTCTTCTAACCCTTTCATTTCAGTAAGAGTAACAATAAAATACTGTATACGAATAGTTTAAGATATAGATACAGCTAAACTATTAAGTGTAACTAGTCAATACTACTTCCATTGAAGTACTCACAAAAAGTTCAAATTTGTAGACATTTGTAACTTTACCTTTGCACAACTTGAAATAAAAAATTATTTGTACATTATTCTTTGTACGTTCGTGTTATCAGGTTACTGGAAATGAGAAAATTTCTCAATTATAAGAATTGATTACATTATAAACTTCGCTATATTCAATAATATATTGAAGATAGCTATATTACCCTCATTTTTAATGTTAATTTTCCAAAAGCTAATGGTTATTCTTACAATTTATGCAAGTTTACCAAATCACCTAGAAAGTTGTACTGTTTCAAAGGAAACATTACTATTGCTTGAATAGTTAAAATGTAAACATCCATTAGAACGGAAGTTATTGCAGGGAAATATTTATCAAAATAGACCTAACAGACAGTGAAAGCCTGCAACAAATGAATATCTATCATTAAATACACCAAACGCGTGATAGATAGATCTGAAAACCTATTTCAGATGTTTGATTTCGCAGTTGCACATTTTCAGAAATGGAGGGCATAATATCTAATGAAGAAGATTCTGGGTTAATATAAGGATTAAGTAACCAGTGTATCACATCTCATAATGCGAATGGTTTTTGTTTTGATATCTAAATGTAGCAAATGTCTGATTATATGTTTCATAACTGGTAGATATCAA